CTTTTGATTTTTGACAGTTCAAAAAAGGCGAGAATACATATAAGAAATGGCCTGCATCAATGACTGTTTTACAGAGTTGTTGGTTTTGACTTCTGTTCATGTTATTTTTTAATATAATAAATCTGGCTTTTTGGGATTGAATATATTTAAGCATATAAACAAACTGGTGTTGGTGATTAAGACACCAGGCTAGAAACTAAGAGACCACAAGTTCTAATCCTGCCTTAAATACCTAAAGCCAGCTGGGTGACCTTGAACCATTCTCTCCCTTTCAGCTCTTGGAAGGCAAACTACTTCTGAAATGTTACCAAGAAAACTGCAGGGACTTATCTAGGCAGTTGCCAGGAGTCAACAATGACACCAAGACACCAAACAAACAAACGTCCCTGAAACAATATTGTTCACTAATTTGCAAGTGTAACTGCATTAGGAAAACAAGATAGTATCCAAATTGCCTGATAGTCTTGCAAAAGTGAGCAGTTCTAGTCATCATTCTAAGTAATAAAATATTTTAATATACTTAGCAATAGTTCAAATACATTATTAAAATTTTGCAAATTAAATCCACTGATAGGTCAGTAGGACAAAAGAATGGCACGGAGTGATTTTCAGGGTCATATTCCAATGGGTTAAAATGGATAACCAGCACAACTCTTTATCAATTTCACCCCAATATCTCAATTCAATTAAATATGGAAAGGAAGACTGGCAGGAAGTAGACATAGTACCAACCGTAACACTAAACCACAAAATACTCAAAATAGCATTTGATTAGAAAAAAAGTCATTGCCTTTATGTAGGAATTCCTCCACAGAAGGAAAACCAACCACTCAAGACAAAATTACTGTGAAGCGCAGTCATAAGTGACCTGAAGAATGGAAAATGCTCACAATAGCCTACAGCAGGGGTGTCAAACTGCTGGCCCATGGGCCGGACGTGTCACGCAGAAACCGCACCCACCCCATTGCCGGCAATGGCAAAACTGTCCCAATACATTGAGCGACATCACGAGTTTGATATGTCTGGCCTATAATTACTAATAGTAGATGGACTGCTTATAATTAAATGAAGCACTGCTTATAGATAGCATAACAAATAGCTTGTGCTTCCAGAACTCAGAAAATACCATTACTGAACTGGAACAAGAAAAGATGTGTGGAGGATATTGTCTATTTATGTCTTCAATAAAAGGTTATTGGGGCATCTTTGCTCTGGGAAAAACAGGAAATGAGGCTGAGCCCTTAGTTACAATTAACAATTAGAAAATTTGTTTCCTAAGATGTTCTTGCCAGAAACTCAACGATCACATTGGCTACAAGTGATTTGTTATGTAGCCAAAGCTCTTAAAGTCTTTAAATGCTCCCATAAAATATTTGGCAGAATAACTAGTATTGTGGCAGACACAGCACTGATGACAACACACGATTCACTTATTTTTATTTTTAGTATGCAAGACACCCAAAATATTGTAATCAGATGTTTTAAAATAAAACCAAGAACAAGAGATTTCAAATATTTATTCATTGGAAATACAGGTTCAGCAGTAAATAAAATGCTACTATAATCTTAAAAGCCAATTATGTGTTCAAATATTCTGAGATGTCATTCTTACATCTGGTGGCTTATACAGAGGAATGCTGTAATATGAGTTGGAAAAAAGCAAAGAAATGTAGGATTGTAATACGAACAATGAGAATCTTTTTATAATTGATTGAATCTGCACTTAACAAGAGCAAGGTCCATTTGCATGGATAGAATAAATGAATATTCTCTTCCTTTTGTGTGTGTGTGTGGGAAAATGCAGGGAGAGTTGCACCAAATTGCTAGCTGCCTATTCGTTTGTTCAGGGAGGAAATTTTGCTAGTTACCTGAGCTGTGCTGATGAAGTTGTCAATGTATTGATGCAGTATTGATGTATGACTCTGAATGGAGAAGAATAGATTTTGGCTCAATCATCACAAGACTTTATGGAAATGGCTGTTTGGGTTATAACTGTTTTCATCATTGATCTTGGATGGACTCCCTTATTCCTTAATGAAGAGTGGTACACAACTTGAGTCTCCTTCTGGACTTGCAGTCTCAAAAAATAGATGGATAGGCCTCTGTGCCAGTTGCACCCTTTTGTGGCACATTCACACCCCAGTTACCTCACAACTAGACTATTATAATGTAATCTACATGGCTCTGCCTCTCCAATATGTTTGCAGAGTAGGCTCACTCTATTAAAGACCATCATCTTGCAGGACCAAAGAAGTGTGTATTTCACCAGAAATATGAATGTCCTTAGTCCTTAAAATCTGGCTCTATTCCCAAGATTGGAGTAAATGTATTTATTGATGAGTCTGTGGGACCCCTATACAGTTTGTGGGATTCCTATGTTTCAAAATTATAGTATCTAGATCAAATATTAGTTTTAAATATGTAGTCTCTATCATTAAAACAATGCAGGATTGTTGATGGAATACAAATAAATAAAATTAAAAAATAGCTTTCCCAAAAAAGGGATGGCAATAAGTAAATTTTCAAGTCTCCATAACCATCAGTATTATGTGAGTGAGCCAGAGAAATAAAATTGCTTGGTCACAGTGGGCTAGCTCAGCATCATCCTGAATCAGAATCCCAGCTAGTTTGTGTTTCGAAGCCTTGGCTTCAGTGGATAGATTCCTTATGGGATGTGCTTAGTGTTGCTGCCAGACACCATCTTCTTGTATTTTTTTTTTCTTTAAATCTTTCCCTCCTCCCCATCCATGCATCCATCCATCTTGGTTCTAATGCTTTTGTTTATATGGTTAATTTTCAAACACACAAAGTAAAACAATTTTTTCCTATACAGAACTATATTTAGACTTCTGGATTCAGTTGGTGATTCAAATAGAAAAGAATATATTTAGGTTAGGATTACACTGCGGAGTCCTTGGAGCTCTCTGAAGTTGGCTTGATTGCTTGCAGATATTTCATTACCCAGCTAGGTAACATCATCACAATGGTGGTTCACTTAATACATAGATGAAACAAAATGTAAATATATCTCTGACTAAAAAGTAAAACAATACTTTCTGTGAAATAGCACGCTATTGATCAAAATACATTCTAAAATTTTCAAAGTTATTTCCTGAACTCTATGCAGATAAAAATAAGTTTGGAATAGAGATATTTACAATCAATTATAAATGTTACTTCTCATGGAATATAACCAATAGTGTAGGCTCCAGGGTCATAAGAAATCAGCTTAGTATGTAATAACCTAATAGTTAATATGGGAGCTCTCATTAGATATTCTATGAAATGGTACATTCTTTGGTTGCATTTTCTCCATTCCCATCTACTGTTTTAAGTATATTTAGAGAAAAGAATTTCAGAGCTCTTGAGACAGAAACAGAAGAGGGAACTGAAAAGCAGAGCTACAATATAGTGCTTCTATCACAAGTGTTCCAAATGATAAATTACAACCGTTAAATGATATTTTTAAAAGATAGACATTTAAATTTAAACTGATTGAATTGAATGCGACCATATAAAGGCATTCTAAATATCTTTTGAAGACATTCCAAAAAGGTCAAGATTCTCTTTTTCAAAAAAGTAGCACAGTTCAATCTGAAAAGCACACTGTTGAAACTACACCTATAATCTCTTAAACTCAGTTGGTAGTTCTCAGTCAGACATTCCGAGGCCTGCCCAGGGAAGATTGCTGCCCCAAACATGCTGTTCTGTGCCTTACTGAAAGAGCACAAAGCCCCTTGAAAATGATTTCTCGGGGAACCTCCTGAGCAGATTAGATTACACTATGGCATATAGTGCTATGCTCCTCTATCACAGATACCTCCACCAAATTTTCTATTTTGCCCTTTCTACCTCAATCCCTGGGACCAAAGTCCATTTCAGTGTCGTTCAAGTGTTCTGATGCAATAAATACAGATAGTCCTTAACTTACAACCACAACTGAGTCCAAAATTTCTATGGCTAAGCGAGATAGTTAATAAATTAATTTTGCCCCATTTTACGACCTTTCTTGTGCACAGTTGTCAATCGAATCACTGCAGTTGCTAAGTTTATAACACAGTTGTTAAGTGAATCTGGCTTCCCCATTGACTTTGCTTGTCAGAAGGCGATGCAGCAACCATCATAAATACAAATCAATTGCCGAACATCTGAATATTGATCATATTACCATGGGGATGCTGCAATGGTCATAAGTGTGAAAAATAGTCATAAGTCACTTTTTCAGTACCATTATAACTTCAAACGGTCACTAAATGAGCTGTTATAAATCAAGGACTTGTAATGGATTTTTTTGTTTTTGTTCAACTTAGCTGAAATCATGAATTCAGCCATAAGATTGCAAAATGTATTTAGAACTTAAATGTATATAACAACATAGGTTGGAGGTACAGTAAGTGGGGAAAAGTGGGAAGGTGGCAGACTGCTTTTATACAGTACCTTTACTAATTTACTAATAATAATTTTCTAATATAAGATGCATTAGACTTCCACTGAAGGTGAGAAACTATTGAACATTGTCAATATAAGAAATTAGAAAGCTCTATCGTTTAGTTCACTAAACATAATTATTAAGAAATTATACTAAAATCATTAATCAAACAGTTCTAAATAAATATATGGTTAAATACAAATATTTTGCACAAAGAAAATACATTAACAACAGAACACGTATCCTCTTAAGAGATAATGTTAATTTAAAATTAAGTAGGTTTGCTTCTAACACAAGTTTAATATGATAATCCTCAAGGAAGCAATTACTTAGGAAAGCAGTTAAAACACCCACCCACATTCATAAATGTCATTAGAGAAAATGCTGTTGAATCATTCACAGCTATGTTAATTGCAGACAACCAAACTGGACTTTTTACTTATCAAAACTAAAATGTGCACAGAAATGTCATTCTCCCTTTAGCATTTTGATCATTCCTTTAAGGCTTCTAGCCCTGTGAGAGCCTAGTTATACTGTGGTTTTCTGGCTATAACAAAGAAGTATACTGTACCTCGGGTGTTGATGGCTGTTGCCGATGTGACTGTGCCTATGCTTGTTAAGGCTACAGTGGCTGTGACTGTTGCAGTGGTAAGGGAGGGGATGACAGTGGTGGGAAGCAAAATGTTGGAAACATCTGGTGAGTGGAAAAAAATATAACATAAAATCATATCATGCAAACAGAGAGAAGCAGCATAACAATGATTCAGCTTGTCAATACACATATGTAGAAAATGTATCAATTAAAACATGCTTAGCACAGATCAACAAAGGTAAGGTAACATACTTTGAAATTCTTGACATCAGATCTCTCTCTTTCTCTCTCTCTTTTTCTTTTTTGAATGCTCAAATAGTAACAGACTAAATTTTGGACCAACCAACAAAGAGAATTTGTTCAAAAAAAAAGTTTTAAAGTCAGAGAGTAAATCTTTATGACAAGAATTCATTTCGTTGCTAAGCCATTTTAAATGCCTTGTACGGTAAGAAAGCAAATATGGATGAAATAACATGCTTGTCAGCGTGGGAGATGATAACACAACATCATCATGCTAAAATAAATACACATGTTAAGTGATGATTGTATGTTAAAGAAACCTACTTTTCAGACAGACTCAATGAAAAAAAATGTGAGCAAATGACTACTAACTCTAAAAGCTGCTGGTTTTGGTTTGCTTGTCTTCTTCCACATTTTGTTAGAGACACAGTCATCTGCTAAGACCCAGAGCAGAAAACACATAAAAAAACCCTTAACTTTTACAGGGTTCACTATCATTCAACAGCATTGGTGAATATTATTTGTATAATATAAAGAAATAGTTTAGTAACCTTAATATTTAGTGGGGGGCGGTTTGGGGAGCTATTTATATCAATGTGCTAATCAAATGAGTGATCCATAGAGGACACTTATCAAAAGAGAAAGAAACAAGCATTATCAGCATTCAGATCATATTCTAAACTAAGTGCTTCTGCATGTCAGTCTAAATGTATTACTGATAATAACGTCATAAATTTCCTATTCCAATTCTAGATGTGCATATATATGTATGGAAAGTGTATATGAGATCGACATTTTAATACTGAAAGTGCAAAAAAACAGGATAGGGAAAAAAAAAACCTCTCTAAAATCTTTGCTGCCTGAAGCAAAGTTCTTTTTTTGTTAAAAACACACAGAAGAAAAAGAAAACATGGAAGAAAACCATTGAAAATGTTCAGAAACTTGGCTTTAAGCATTGTGTATCTAGAAAACTAGCCACATAGACACAGTTAAAAACACCATTAGTTCAGGAATAGCTAATGATATCTGTGGAGGATAATACAAATCAGAAATACAGCTTTCATGTTCCTGGAAAACCAATATCAGAGCATTACTTCTGTGGATACATGGTAAATAAAATCAGGTAGCATCATATAGGAGGATTATTCAAAGCACAGAATCCTGAGGTTTAGAATATTTTATGTGTACTAGCAGCCTCCATTTACAGCTAATTATTCCATTAGACTTTTTGATTTTAGACCTATTCCTAATTTTCATGCATTACAAATTATATTGCCATTTCAAAAGACTGCCTGTCTTTTTCTTAGTTAATACATTTGAGATATCCTAAAATGCCACATTCCTATTCCCAGTTAATTAGAGCAAATATTATTATTTGTTCACATTTACTTTTGCAAAATTTTCACATAGGGATCTATATAACTCTATGCTTACATCCTTAACATATTAACATTTAAAGCAGTTCCTCAATAAGAGATAACCCTGGCTATCAAAACTAAGGCAGACTTTTCAAAATTTAATGTTGCCACATTAATCAGAAGGACAAACTACAACATTGCCTGGAAAGCAACTGCCATGATTATTAAACAGAACTGACATTAGTCAACATTAATCATGAATGCTCTTTTTTAAAAAAGAAACAAGTTGCGCATTCCTTTGCATTATTATGCAAACAGCAAAATTCATTTAAAAATGGATAGGTTAGCAATCATGCAAGAAGAAAGACTAGAATTTCAAAGTATTTTGCCATATAATAAATATTTTACAACTGCTCCAAAAACTGGCTGAGAAAGTGTTTACATAACTGAATAGGTGCTTCATAAATGTATGTGAACTACAGCACAATGCTATGCCAAAATCCAGTTTTATGGTGATTTCAAAGTAATGTAGAGAAGAAGAGCAATCACTGAAGACCAAGTGAAGGTTCCCTGTCTTTAATAATATATGACAAGACTAACAAAAACAAACCTCGTACCATGAGCTCTGGCTTTGGGAACTGAACATGAACTAAAACTCGCAATGTCACACAACATGTCCTGACTTTTTTGCCATTGCCAGCAAAAAAGCGGTTTTGCTATGATGCATCCAGCCCATGGGCCGGCAATTTGACACCCCTGTTATAGTGCCTACACCCTGTAACTTAACCTTATGTCATAGAAAATTAAAACTTGGAAATGCTATTGTTTCACATCTGAATGGGAAGACAATCTGCAGAAAATTACAATAACTTTTTTTTGGGGGGGAGGATCAAGTCTAACACAAGATTTGGCATTGAAATTCACTTGGATGTCCTAATAAATGAATTCTGTCAAGAGAGATATAGGAAAGCTATAATATTATTAATTCTCTTTAAACTCTTGGCCATGAAATCTACTCAAGCAAATTCCAATTGGTGGAGTAAAAGTGCTTTGACTCCACTGTAGTTTGTTTTTTTCCCCCTTGATATGTGATTTAATTGACAAGTTTCTTTTTTTTACCCCTCCTTCATGCTCTTTAATATCTTCAACATCATGAACTGCAGTCTTCCTTGGAAAAGAATAGCCTTGCTAGGTTGGAGCAAGTTAATCTATAAATTGGATTAATGCATTACATTTAGGGATGCAGTTGAAAAAGATGCTTGCAGATTCCAATCTGGGAAAGGTTCAGCAGTTCACACCAACTACTTATAAGATGTCATTCTCTCATATCATACTCCTTTGCATTAATATCTTCAATAACTTAAGAAAAAATTAGGAAGTATCTTGACCTATTGTGCCAATATTGTTTTCATTTCAGCACCAAATTAAAGAGTTCTCATTTGTCCACACATTCAACATTTTTATTCTATTTGTAACTGATTTCTTTTTTTATTAGCTGGTTGAATATACTTATGTTTGTTATTTTGTAAATAATGTAATAAACTATTAAATTATTATATAGCTCCAGCTAAGTTTAATGAAGAGAAGGACTAGGGGTGACATGATAGCAGTTTTCCAATATCTCTGGGGGTGCCACAAAGAAGAGGGAGTCAAGCTATTCTCCAAAGCACACTGAAGCCAGAACAAGAAGCAATGGATGGAAACTAATCAAAGAAGCAACCTAGAACTAAGGAGAAATTTCCTGACAGTTAGATCAGTGGAACAACCTGCCACCAGAAGTTGTGAATGCTCCAATACTGGAAGTTTTTAAGAAGAGATTTGACAACCACTTGTCTGAAATGTTATAGGGTTTCCTGCCTGAGCAGGGGCTTGGACTAGAAGACCTCAAAGGTCCCTTCGAACTCTATTATTATTGTTATTGTTATTAAGCCAGGATTATTTTAAAAATATTTTAAACATACATATGTTTTGATATGGTGTAATTTAAATTCAGCAGAAATGATTATAGCTTGAATCCTTAAAACTGAAACTGAGTTTAGCTCATAGAATAATCCTAACTATTTCTACCTTCTCACTGGAATCAGATATATATTTAGGTATTCTTGAAGCTTGCAGATTCTTTTCCAGAAGCTGGTGGTCTTGGAGACCTCATTTTGCCTCTCTCAGTTAGAGCAATTTAATTTCTGCATATGTTTTTCTAATGGTAGAATTTGTTTCTGGTTGTTTTTGGTTGCTTGATATTGCCTCTGGCACTCAATATGTTTCATTATAATTAATGTTGCTATTACTATATTTTTTCTTTGATTGCCACCTTGAGTTGCACATTTATTTTCGTGGCTATATAAATTGATCACAATAATAAAGACCAAAAACAAACAATTCAGAGTTATGTCTAGTTACTCATACATTATGCATTCATTTCTCATTACCACATTTAAACATGTTACCATGTTGGACACACCAGATAAAAATTCTGCACTTGTGTTCATAAAAAACAAAATAGGAAAGGAAAGGAAATCCACAAAACTCTACAGAATAGGAACATAAGAATTAGAATTAGTATCTCTAAGCAATGAGAGTTTGATTTCACAATGAACTGAAATGGAACAATTTTCATGTGTTCTACCACACATTTTCTATATTATATAAGTTATTGACCGTGCTTCTCAAATATCCTTTGATGAAATGAAGCAATAGGTTATCTAGTTATTCAGATGGCTGCACAGTATCCATAGATAGTGGTATAAATAATTAAAACAAAATAGATTAAATGCTAGAGAAATAATGACTAATAAATTATATAGTTTAGCCTCAGGACATTATTTTTCCTCTTATTAAACAACTGGCGATAGGAAAGGAAAATAAACATATGAATCCCAGAATCTGATGACAGTATACAAATAAATATAAGGAAGAATTTATAACTGATTTAAAAGGGCTTTTGTAATAAAAATGCTATCATGGCAAGGATTTGGTTTAAGCTTAAATACATTTCTATTGCACTTCCTGCATTAAAAACTGCGAAGCACATTTGGATGATGTTGTGAACTACGTTTTGAAATTTATTCACATGATAAACTTACTCTCTGGGATAATCCCAATTGAACATTTCAGGTAAAACATTTTTGGCTTTTTGAAAGTAACAAACAAGTTATTGTCAATTAAATTATTAAACATTTGACTAACTCCCAACTGATACTTAATAAATGGCAGCTTTTTAAATTAAACAGCTCAGCTCTGAATATCAGTCTCTTCCAGATGCCATACATACATACATACATACATACATACATACATACATACATACATACATACATACATACATACATACATATTGTTGATAGACATGGCTCAGAATTCAGGAATACTTTTTTTGTAAAAAAAAGAGGTTAAACTGTTAATGGTAGGATTTGAAAATAATGTGGTACATTATGCAACAATAATGTGCTTGTTGAAAAAGACTTTTCACATATTGGATTATGTTAAGCATGGCAGAAATTTTAG